TGTATAAATTATGCAGTAGAAGGCAATCTATGTATTTCACACAGAACATAGTGAATCTCTCAAGTTTATTTCCACAGGCATTACAGAAGCAGATGATATCAACAGTGTGAGAAGGAATTTGGCAAATTTGCAATCATTCATGAATCCAAGAGGGCAGAAGTTCTATATAACAGTTGAGCTTGGGTAGAGGGTAAGGATGCAAGGTGTGCTTTGGAATATCCATCAAAGTTAGCAGAAACTTGGGGGTATTGGATGGTAAGCTGGATATGAACCAGCAATGTGCACTTGCAGCCCAGATAGCCAACTGTATCCTGGGCTGCATCAGAAGAAGTGTGGCCAGCAGGGTGAGGGAGCTGATCCTGCCGTTCTACTCTGTGCTCTGCTTGCCTTGAGTATTGCATCCAGATGTGACATCCTCAATACAGGAGAGATGTGGACCTGTTGGAGTTTGTCCAGAAGAGGGCCAAAAAAATATCCAAGAGATTGAACATTTCTGCTGTGAGGGCAGGCTGAGAGTGCTGGGACTGTTCATCCTGGAGAAGAGAAGGTTCTGGGAACACCTGATAGTGGCTTTTCACTATGTAAAGGGGGGCTGTAAGAAGGAAGGAGGCAGACTCTTCACCAGGGTCTGTTGTGGTAGGACTACAGGAAGTGGTTTCAAAATAAAAGGAAGATTTAGATTGGACAAAAGGAAAATAATTTGTGCAGTGAGGGTGGTAAGGCACTGACTGGCAGAGGTTGCCCGGAGATGTGATGGATGCTCCATCCCTGGAGACATTCAAGGTCAGGCTGAATGGGGCTCTTAGAAACCCGATCTGGCTGTGTGTGTCCCTTTTCCTTGTAGGGGAGAGGGACTAGGTGATCATTAAGGATCCTTAGCACCTCAAACAATTCTATGATTCTATGAATTCAAGATTTTTAACTCTAGGATGGAGAGGTAATTGTATAAAATGTTACCAGATAATGTGGGCTTCTTGGCTACCGAGTTAAGAACTAAACTGAGTAATAAATTTTGTGTTGCAGGTAGGCGAACTGCAACAGTGCTATTTCATATTACGGGGTTACATTAAAGAAAACAAGATTCAAGACAGAACTGTGAGATCAGTTCCATGCTTTCCCAAGTCTAGGCCGTAGGTAGTCCTGTGCCTGTCTGTCTCTGCCAGTAAACTGAAAGTGCCTGTGCAAACTAGAGTAGAGTGGAATTTTAGAAAACTGGAATTGAGGGAGTATAGTTCATCATAACATATTTTGTTTTACAGCTTTTAGATGCATTTGGACACAAATCCAATATTAGCTTGGTGTTTGACTTCATGGAGACAGACCTTGAGGTAAGACGGATTAAGATATCTCTTATTTCAGTATCTTCAAATGCATTTTGAAAATGCGTTCTGAAAAACATATTTTTATAGCCTTACTTTTACTGTATTTTTTTAATTTTCTTTTTATAATGGTGTCTTTCATTATGTAACTTGATTAATATTATACCTTTAAAAGAGTTGGAATAGTGTGACAGTTTTTGTGTAATTTCAACTGAAAATGCCTTTACTTTTAAGTAATTTTTGTCAGCTCTGTTACCAGGAAACAGACTGTTTACTATATTAGTTTTCTAGGAACTTCAGTCAGAGCATAGAACCACTGATCATAAGCCAGGATCTCAGAATGCAATTGCTAAGCACAGTAATGTAAAACATGCAGAAGTGAGTGTGATATTATTAAAGTATGCCATGTAATGATCTGACTAGAAGTCACATACTCCTGGACCCTTCTTTTAAATTTGACAGTGGTGCTTGCTTGCAAGCCTGACTCTTACATTAGTTTATCTTACTCTTTCATTAGTTTATCTTTTGCCAAAATATTTTTATCAAATACTTTAGTGCAGATGCTTCATTGTGGAGCACTGCTGAGAAGACATTTTGGATGATTCTCATGTCAGATGTGTATATGCATATCCATACTCTGGAAGAAATTAACCCGTTGTACATATGGCATGAGACCCTGGAGCTCACACTTGAAATATTAAAGTAAAGCATTGACAAGTTTCTTGAAACTCAGAGGAATATAAGACTGAAGTTTTACTTTTCTTCTTTTTGCTCATAGAAGTAATGCCTACGCTTTCTAGAGGATTGATTTTTACTTAGTAACTATGCAGTGTTTAGAAATCAAGAAGGTACACTGTACAAGGAGGAATTAAATACTTAGTAACACAATGCAGAGCAGTTATTCATGTTGTGGTATCATTCAGACATCTTTGTTAGGGACTAAGGCCTGTTGTGATTATGCACGTGCTGCATGTTGGAAATTCTTTGGTTTTAGGCTGTTGCTTTATAAATCTCAAACAATTTAAATATTGAGAAATGGTACTAATGAACTGAAAAGCAATATTAAACAATTTTGAGGGAGTGACTTAGAAAGTATTTTTAAGGAGGATGTTCACTAGAATTTTGATGTTAAAAATTAAACTATGTTGAACACTTAGGTTTGTTAAAATATAGTGTCGTGGCTATACTTCTCTGTCTTTGTGGGGGGAAAAAAAGGAAACCAATGTGTTAACAAGGATTAGATGCTTAAATTGCACAGAGGACAAATGAGCATGTGGGAATATAATTTCTTGTAGATTATTAACACATCTGTTATTTTTGTGTACAACTTTTTTGACTTGTCAGATTGGATATGTTTGGTATGAAGGTAAAATAAAATCATGCTTCCTGCCAATTTTCTAAATGGGCTGCTTATGCCAAGTTCACAATAGACCATCTGGAGTCCCTGCTCCGGTTCTGATATCTAGATCAGTATAGACCTGTGGGTTTTTGTTTTGTTTTGTTTTTTGTTTGTGGGTTGTTTTGGGGGGAGGGGAGTTTGGTTTTTGTTTTTTGGGTTTTTGTTTTTGGACAAAGGATGGGAACAGTAGAGTACGTATAGCTACTAATTGCAACTTTATCCTAAAGCATAAGCTAACTTTTGAGCTGAAAAAACTGCGGAATAATTTTGCATTATAAGCTTTTGTGCTTATCAATCTACCATTGTCAATCTAACGTTTGCAGGTTATTATAAAGGATACTAGTATTGTGTTAACACAAGCTCACATCAAAGCCTACATGCTGATGACACTTCAAGGATTAGAGTATTTACATCAACAATGGATTCTGCACAGGGTAAGCATGCTCTAAATGCCTTTGTTCCCATAACAAATGTCACTTTTGATTGGATTTTAGTCTGAATAATGAAACCTTCATTGGTTTGCAGTGCATAGGGTTGCACTAGCTGTTGAGCAGTGGCGGTTGCAATGCTGGAAATGTTAAGAATTACTTACATCTATAGTGTAGATGCTTATATGTATAAGTCATTCCAAAAGTAATGCTTTCTATTAATTCCCATGGAAACTGCGATGCAAAAAGCACAATATCTCTATACAGCAGAGCAAATTCTGTTTTTCAACATAGTCACCACTCTTAGCTATGCATTTTAATCAGCAATGAACAAGAGCCTCCTTGCCACGCTCTTAAAAACCAGCATCAGCAGATGTCACTCACTGTCTCTACTGCAGTAACACACCATCCCTTCTTTATGTTCACATCCAATGTTTGGTCTCCATAAACATTCAGCAAGTGTCAGTGAGAATGTCAGCGAGTACCATTTTTTTTACACATGGAAGAACTCAGTTCTGCAGCTTTGCTTCATCTGCACTTCCATGTCATATGCTGTTTTGTTAGACTGCCTCTCTGCTGCCATCTGTCACGTGGCAAAATAATATAATGGGATATTGGTGAGTAGGTTCAACCTCTACTGCCATACCACCATCTGCCTCTGACACTGTGGGTCAAAATACTAAACAGGAGGTGCTACTTTTTGAGCAGCCTTTGTCAAGCTGTCTCAAGTGATTCATGACTTTGGTTAGAACTGTGATCTAGTCTGGCTTAGATGAAGTTAACTTTCTTCATAGGAGTTTGCATCATGCTGTATTTTAAATCTGTAGTTAAAACAGTGGGCTGTTTTCCGCCTGTTGAACACTGCTTGCACATCTTCAAGCCTTTTTCTGCTCTGCCTCTAACCCAGCAGATCTGCTTGGAGGGGCTCAAGATTGGGACAGGACGAAGCACTTGGGGCAGCTGACCCAAGTGGCCCAGAGAAATGCTGTCTGTGGTACAACAGTGTGAAAATAAATAAATAAAAATTAAAAAACGGGATATAGGGAAATATTTTGTGTTCCAAGTTGGCTGTTGCTCAGAGGCTATTTGGGCATGAGTCTCTGCTTGTGGGAGGTGATAAGTGAATTCCTTTGAGTCCCTTGTTTTTTGGATTTTGTTTAGTTTTTTTCTCATTGTTTTTGGGCTTTTTTCCTCCTTTCACCTGTTAAATGCCCTTTGTTTTATATCAGTCTATGAATTTTCTTGCTCTTCTTGTCTCACTTGGGTGTGAGGAAATGCAAGTAAATGGCTACGTGCCTCCTGGCTGCATGCAGGACACAACACTGTTACTGTATTAAACTATATCCGTCCGGTAACCTCTCCAGCTGTCCAGACAAATTAGCAATCATCTTATTCTTTTTTTTCAACAGTGCCGTAAGACAGAAGTAACATTCTTGCAGCAAAGCAAAAACCTACCACAAATCTGTGTTTTTGAGCTCTGGAAATTAAATAGCATAATAGTCAAACTGAGATGTTTGATTTTTTTTATTTTTTTATTTTTTTTTTAATTTTCATTTATGTGGAAATGATGTCATTTGTTTTCTTCATCACAGTGTAAAAACTCAAAATATATTTAGACTGAGTTTTAGAATACTGTTACTATACTCTTGCTGGGATGTTCTCTGTATGTCTGTTTTTATTAACAATGACAGGATTCCTTCTTTGCTTTCTGTACTGACAGGATCTTAAACCAAATAATTTGCTGTTAGATGAAAATGGTGTTTTGAAATTGGCTGACTTTGGCTTGGCAAAATCTTTTGGAAGCCCAAACAGAGTTTACACACACCAAGTAGTAACAAGGTAAGACATTTCTTAGATTGATGGTAAATGTTATGTATTACCCTGTGGAATACACCCAGTTAAAGCAACACATTTCAAGTTTGATTTCTAGCTCAAGTAGTATGACTATAGTGGCAAAAAGTCTCATAACTTTGCGTAAAGAAAGCATAATAAAATGTTTTTTAGCAGTGTTTTAAAGAATGATTAGAATTTGTGTCCCTGGAGGTTGTTCTATGGTATGATACAGATTTGAAGCATGTGAAAATAACATTTATTTACCTACAAATCAAGCTTTCAGAGAGACAGTTGTTACTTGCTGCTAATCATGAACCCACCAGTCTTTTGTAGTGAGGCACATTAACTATTGTGATATAAAAGCTCAACCCAGTTAATGTCATTTTTGATGTGCTTACTTAAGACATGTACTCTTTTTTTTTAAAAAAAAAAAAAAAAACACTGCAAAATAAGTTTCCTTTGGTCCACTGTAATGCTAAAACTATGCAGCAAAACTGTTTAATACCTTCATTCAATCAAAAGGCATCAGTGATACAGTTGTTTGAAATGCAGTGTATATCAAATCTTGCCCAGCTTCAAATAATTGCTGCCAAGATGTATTTTACACAAAATTAATTTCTGAGTCTGTTGCTAGTTGTATTTTTGAAAGCTGAAAGGAACTCTGTCTTAAAGTACCATTTATTGAAAATAAATTTAAAGAAAACAATGATCTGTAACATGTAAGCCTCCCTATATACTTTTATACTTTTTCCTTTGCATATCTGCAATTCTGTTGTTTGCCCGTTAGCTCAGCTGTAGTAAAACTGTGGTTACGCATAGCCCCATGATGTACAATGCAATGCTTTTCAAACTTAAAAAAACAAAAACAAACAAACAAACAAAAAACAACAACAACAACAACAACGCTTTGTGGTTCTTTAATGTTTGGAAAATACACGGGCAAGAGCAGAATTCTTCTTGTAGTCTTGCACTGCTGCAGCATACATCAAGTAAAACCAGGTTTTCCTGAAACGTTTTTTTCTGTTCAGATGGTACCGATCCCCAGAACTACTGTTTGGTGCTAGAATGTATGGTGTTGGTGTTGACATGTGGGCTGTTGGTTGTATTCTAGCCGAGTTGCTTCTCAGGGTAAGTCTTCAAATGTAAGCATTTGTATTTGTTCTTCAGTGCATTTTAGATGTGGGTTTCTTCTTCCCTGCAGTAGTATAATCAATGGAAACTTAGGCTACTTCCTAGGAGCAATGAAAGGGGGCAGGAAGGAAATACCTTCCAGAAGTTTGCTACCTAAATGGAAGGGGAAATTTTCTAATGAGCTGAGGTTCCAAAACCATTGCAAAGATTGGAAACCTTAAAAAACAGCTAGGCAAAAAAGTACAACAGAGTATCACAGTTCTGCCTTTGGGAAGGTGAGTAAAGTAGTTTACTCTTCCAGTCCTCTCCGTGTTTTCTTTTCACACAGCCATTCCTCAGTTTTCATCTATGATATTTGCAGAACATTTGGCATCATATGTACATGGTACACTCTATAAATTGTTTACCAATATTTGGGAGTAATGACCACAGTACAACTGTAGATTTATTTGTAATGAGCTGAAAATGTACTGTTGTTGTTGTAAACTGTGGCTAGTTAATAGACTGGAGTGAGGCTGGAGATAGTCAAGATTACATTATGTCACTAAGATGTTATGTACAGGTGTAATCATCCATAAATATGCTTTATGGAAATAAGCAATTATGTAGGTCTTCTGAAAACACTGAAGTAGGAGGTAGGAAGTGGAGGGCAGGGGGTACAAGCATAGCTGAAAGCATGAAGTAGCCTGCAGTATAACTTACTTCCCAAAATAAGCAGGTTCTGCTTGATTCATGCACTTTAAGTGTATGTTGTATTGTGAACCAGATTAGGTAACTAGTCTGTTTGAAAACACTTGGGAATATATCATTTGCCTTGTCTGATTTATCGTATGTATAGATGTGCCAGTACAAGTTCAGAATGGAAATACAGAGTGGTTGCTTAAGAAGCATCAGTAGTGCATGCATAAACATAGATGAGGCCACAGGTGTCCAACCTTCTGGCTTGCCTGGGCCGTGTTGAGTGAAAAGGGATAATCTTGCACTGTGTGTATGTGGAATGCTGCAGAAGAGATGACTGCTAGTTATTTCCATGGCGACAACAACAAATACAAATAGCACAATAATTATTTGATAGAGCAAATTCTCAGCAACAAAACAGTGTTTTTCAATGTAGTCACCACTATTAGCTGTGTTTTTTTTCCCAACGTTGAACAAGAGCCTGCATGCTGTGCTTATAAAAATCTCTACCTGTGAAGGTGATACCTGTTCCACAGTTGCTGTGATGGCATCAGTGCTGATACGCACCATCCACCTCCTCCCATCTGCTCTGTGGTCCCTGTAAATGTTCAGCAAGTATGGATGGATATCAGTGCATGCCATTTTTTTTCCATGTGGAATAATTCAATAATACACCTCTTGCTTCATCTGCACTTCCATGTCAGATGCCATTCTGTCAGAGTGCCCCACTGCTGCCATCTGTCACACAGCAACAACATGGGATGGGGTATTGGTAGGAAGGGTCCACCTCTACTATCATACCACCAACATCCACCTCTGGCAGTGTAGGCCAATGTAATAAAATAGGAGGCATTACTTTTGGAGCAGCCCTCGTAAAATATATACTTAATGCACGTAAGTAAACAAAACTTATTTTATTCTGTAGTATTTCTTACTAAAACCTAAGAAGAGCAGCAACAACACAGACCTAGTGAAACATTTGACTTTGCTTTTGTACATTAGCCTGGTTTGATAGCAATGGTCGCAATTCTTAGTGCTTTGCCAAGGTGTTCATCAGAAATCTTTATGAAATTTTACTATGTTTGATCCTTGAAAACAGTTGTTCACAAATATGCGTACGGCCAAAGAGCAATGGCGTATTGATGAGGTGTGATTGTGAAGTGAAGATCTGTGAAGATAATTCTCTTTGGTAAAATAGGGCTTATAGGGGTCCAGCAGAGAAACATGATCACGCTTTAATTCAAATATACCAAAGAATTGGTGATTTTTCCTGCGGCCTTGAAACCTATTCTCAAATTACTTAATCAAAGTGGAAAGCACAGCTGCTTATTTTTTGCTGTTCACAGGACTGTGTTTAAGCAATATGCCTCAATACATGCAATTATTTGCCTTAACTTGAGCCTTAAGTGCACTGCATCCACGCCATGCCCTGCTTTCATTCCAGGCAGTGCCAGTTGCACACTGCTGTTTGGTTGTTGCCGGCAGTGGTTGCATGCTGGAGGCGGGGCTGGGCTACTTGGCAGGGCAGAGCCACTGCTGTGATGGTACAGGGCAGGGAACAGCTGCAGGGCAGGCTGGGCCAGGCTGTGTGTGGGCTGCAGGTTGGACAGGTGTGGATTAGACCTCTGAAGTTGTGTACATTGTGGAAAGTTAGAAAGCAAAGACATGATCTAATTCTATTAAATTATTTTTCTTACAAAGCAGGTTATGTTTATGGCAAGGTTTTATCACTATGATAGTTTTAAATGTATCTGTCTCTTCTTCCTGGTGTACTGGATTGAAGGATAGTGAAATTTCCGGGAGCTTTACAAAAGCTCTTAAAGATCTTCAATGGGCTTTCAAGGCACCAAAATTGAGTGCTCTGCCTTACAAGGGTGTTCATTATGCTCTTTCTGTCCTTATGATTAAAATACTGTCTCTAACTTCACTTTTGTTCACGAAGTCCCTTTTTTTTTCTTTCACTGTGTGCCTGTTGCATGAATGACAGCTCAAACTGGACAGACATGCCGTTTTTTCTGTCTTCTGCCTAGCTTAGTTGACATCTTGTCTTAGAGTTGACGTCTTGTTAGGCAGTTTAATCCTTTATGGATATGAGTCAGTATAATTTCTCTTGGTGCTCTTTCGTTCTACTGTTATTAATTCTCACTTTTGTAATGTGATTGCAATCCACATAAATGTTTATATATATAATGTCATGTAATGTCACCTATCTTGAGGTTGTAGGTGCTGGAAAGATTATTGTGATCAACAGACTGTAAATTTACAGCTCAGGGTAAAACAAGTTAGCTTGATAAAAGAATGATTCTACATTAATGCTGTAGTGGTTTTAATGTTATGTTTTGTTCTATTCTGTCAAGTCAGTGATACTAAGCCTGGGTTACAAGAAACGTTCAAAATCTATGTGGATGTCACTAGATAGCTTTAAGTGTTCAGTGTCCCTTGTTACAGGCACATGGTATACAAAGATACCATTTCAGTTTGAATGTGTAATGCAATTATGACGAGCCACTCTAAGATAATTTCTGTAATTAAGTCTAGAATTTAGTTTAAATGAGCTGTTGCCTTCCTCCAGGTTCCTTTCTTGCCAGGAGACTCTGATCTTGACCAGTTAACAAGGATTTTTGAAACACTGGGCACTCCAACAGAAGAACAGTGGCCTGTGAGTCCTTTTGTTTAACACTCTGGCTTTAATTTTACTTGACTCTACTTTTGCTTTTGAAATTAACTTTAAAAATGTATCAGAATATTTCATTAAGTTCTCAGAATGCAGCTGCCTCTCACAAAGAAAGAAGATAAGCAGCTGAGACTTCTATCTCAGCAAATCTCTAATCATTACAACAGTATTTTTAGCATCATGCAGCAGTTGAGAGACATCTTAATTTCCTTTCTTGGTCCACAGTTTCCCATGCTATTGATATAAAATTAATATTGATTGCTTAATGTTCTTGAGATTCTTGATATATTGATGTTTTAACTCGGAAGGCTTTAATTGCTTTCAATGTTAGGAACAATTTATAGGACCTTAAGTTGGGCTGTCCAGGTTTTTTATTCGGGATCCATTAAAAGAAAGAAAGACAGTTCTGAGGCAAAATGATTTCTCAGAATAGCTCTCTGGTAATATACAGAATTCAGTGTCTGTCACTGCAGTGGACCCTCTTTTTTTTTTTTTTTTTTTTTTGTGATTGGCACCACTGGCTTTCAGTGGCATTGTATCCCTAAGTAAATACCTGGCATTGCCCTCGCTCATGTGCAGCATTCTACATTTGGCCTCGTTGAACCTCCTTATGTTTTCATGGGCCCACTTCTCCAGGCTGTCCAGGTCCCTCTGAATGGCTTCCCTTGCCTCCAGTGTATCAACTGCACTGCTCAGCTTGGTGTTGTCTGCAAACTTGTTGAGGGTGCACTCGATGCCATTGTCTGTGTGAGTGATGAAGACATTGAAGAGCATCAGTCCCAGGACTGACCCCTGAGGGATCAGGGGTCATTGTATCCTGCAACTGTTCCTCCTGTATGCCAGTTTTCCTTTGTATGAATGGCACTTAGGTGCTACCTGAGGTGGTCACTAAGTGGATCTATAGCTATGTGAAAAAATTTTGTGTAAGGCAATACTAGCCCCACACAATTCTGTTGTGCTAGGATTCTAAAGGGAGGCGCAAAGATTTTTGCGATGATATTTTCTCTTTCTTGGAGGTGAGAAAAGGAGAGGACAGGAAATTCATTAGCACAACAGAGATAATGCATTCTGAAATTTATTTCCAAACCTATGATTTTCAAATATTGAAACCTTTGCAGTCAAAGTTGTAACTGATTGCACACATTTTTTACTGCAGCATTAGTGTTTTATTTAGCTTGAATAAACTTGATGAGCAAACTTACTGAAATATGTTGATTGAAAGGTTTAAAATACTTACTGACATCTAGATAATTGTCTGTAACTGGTTTAGTTTTATGGTGAAATTTGAATAGAAGGGTTGGTTGATTTTTTTTATTTTTTTTTTATTTTTTATTTTTTTCCTGTACCTAAAGGGGGCAAAAATGCCATTCATCTTTTGTTTAACTGGTTTTTCCTTCATTCCCTGTAGCCCATAAATAAAACATGCATTTGAAAAAGTAGCTCAAAATGCTAATGATGGATGACAAACTTTGAAGAGGACAGTATATTACCAGGAGGAAGTGCACATTGGCTCCTCTGTGTATCTTGTCTCTTTACCATCTGCTAGTTTTACTTTGCGCTCACTGTAAAGTTCCTCCATGCTTCCTTTGTTAATTTTGTTTTCTATTGTACTCCTCACTACTGAAGCAGGAGGGTGAAAGATTACTTGGTAATGGTTACTGCATCAATTCTTTTTTTAGAGTAATTTTTATGACCTATTATTCCCACACTCAGGTATTAACAGGGTGTCTTGAAGAGCAGTTAGCTTCTGCTGTGGATACAGCTATATGAAGTTTCATTTCTGTGAAAAGCTAAACTCCTTCAATCTTGAAAAACAGACATCCCATTTTTGTGTCTTTGTAGGGAATGACAAGTCTTCCGGATTACGTCACGTTTAAGTCTTTCCCTGGAATGCCTCTTCAACATATCTTCAGTGCAGCTGGAGATGATTTACTTAGTCTTCTACAAGGATTATTTACATTTAATCCTTGTTCTAGAGTTACAGCCACTCAGGTATAGTACACCTGTATGTGTTCTAATCTTCATTAACATACTCAAAACATTAGATAAATGTGTTCTGAAGCTAAGAAGCCGGTCTGAAATTGAATATCTGTCTGTGAAATACTGTAAGCATATTTCCCACATTTTATACAGAAAAATTTGAAATAACGCTCTCTGATAATCACTGCTCCCAATTATGTAGCCAAGGTAGACAACTAAAAAGTGTATGAGCCAGACAATCATAGTCAACATTCAAAATTCAGTTTCCTAAGCTAGCGAGTAAATCTTAACATAGTATGTTTTATTCCCTGCTTTTAAAATGTTTTCATCTTTAATTCATCCAGTCTCCAATTTCATTTAAACTTTCTTGGTTCTTTTTTAAAATGGACATCTGGTGACTTAAGCCACTGTCTTGATCTGAATTTCAGTTTCTATCTTGCTTGAGTAAAATTGATCTCAGTTTCACTACTGTTTATTGGGTAGAAATAAATGACTTTGAATTAAAATCTTGCAGAATGTTCTGTTCTAGTTGAAAATAGGATTACTGTCGTGGGCTAGGCACGGCAACTAATTCGAATATTTATCACCTCACAGTTACGGGGTATCATGCACACCCCCACTGCAAGGCTGGGACTCCCTCATGGCTTGCTGGACAAGGCAAATCTCAGTGCATGTTCGATACCCTTGAACGAATTGACTTTTTGAGAGCATATTGAAGGATTTTGTTTTAGTCACCATCTCTAAAAATGTACCTTCCCAAGTAACTAGTTGCAGCATGCTTGAGACAATTCCTATATTAACTCATATATATGAAGACATTTTCCAGGCCATATTGTAAGATGGTGACTTGAATTTATGTGATTTTTCTAGTCTTATGTTTTTAATGACATCTCCACGGTGTAAGGCAGGAAAGCGATTTTTGCATACCATATTGGCTTGATTTATACATGGCATTGAATACTTTGTAATTGGCATAAGCAAAAGTAGTGTAGAGCTAACAGACTACATAAGTAAAGCCATAAAGCATAGTAAATGGAAGCTGTGGAACTGCTAAAATTTAAAATAGGGTATGTAATTTTTCTACATCAAGTTAATCTTGCTTACATGCTCATTCAAACTATGTCTTCTTGCATTTTACACTGTAGAAGCAGCACAGTTAATGAATAGGAAGACCGGTTTTAAAAGCTAGCAAAACAATAGTATTCAAAACTTTGGTTACGCTATTTTAATCTCTTTTTCTCACTTCCATCTTTACTCATGTATCTCTTCTCTTTATTCAGAAAGTGAGTTCTTCAGAGCTAGAAACTCACTGATCTCCTGCAGTGTCATCTAGAATTTTGTTAGAATGTTTGAGTGCTAGCTAGAAGTGAGCTTGCAGTTATCTCTTAGCTAACGAAGTACCATGGTAGTCACTGAGAATATTAAATCTTGCTATCTTTCAGTACAAAGATGCTTAAGTAGTTTCTGAAGTCTCAATTAAAATCTATTTATTTCATTATAGTCTCTTCATATGTGAAGTTCTGATGCTTATACTGATTACTGGTTTTTTTTTTGGTTTTTTTGTTTTTTTGTTTTTTTTTTTTTTTTTTGGCTGTTAAGGCATTGAAACAGAAGTATTTCAGTAATCGACCAGGACCCACTCCAGGATATCTGCTACCCAGACCCAACTGTGCTGCAGAGGCTGTAAAGGAGCAACAACACACACTTTTGAATTTAAAAAGGAAACGAGGAGAGGGAGTAGATCAAGGTAAATTCTTAATGTTTCACCTGTTTTAAAATGGGAACACGAGAGAAAACTGTACTTCCAGTTTTTCAAAACATAAAAACTCTGTGAATGGATAGTAACCCTGGATACCAGTACCATCTGTAGCCCTTTAGGATTTGTGTTTTCGGATAAGCACTTGAACGTAAGAATGGCTTAATTCTATAATCTAACAGAATTGGTACCAAAAGACTCTTTTGCTATGCTTTACGGATCTGCTAATTAGAAGAAATCTCTAATACTATTAATCTTTTAATGGAGTGTGGTATTATCTACTAAATGAGAGGCTATCAGACTTTCTTCTTGTTTTCTCAAGCAAACAAGAAAATTCTCTGTGAGTTAATAAACTTCATATCACTTAGAAAAAAGAAGGGAGAAATAAGAAATAAATATGGTATTTCTTTTATGTGATAGATTAAAGAATGTAAGTCAAATTTAGAGGGATTTCTGCTATCTCCTTTGGACTAGGCAAATGAACTGTTAAGACTATGCAGGGTAAGGAAGATCTCAGTACATTACAGTGATCCTTTTAAGAAACAAGCCTATCCCCTAACATTTTCTTCCATACGGAACCTCCAGTTTTCCTCAAACAGTAGTACATACTTCATACCCTCATAGCAAGGAAAGGTTTGCGGACTCAACAGCTGTATGTGACACTAAACTAGTCAGCCCTTGTAGCAGAGAGGCAAACATTAATTCTTGAGCTTGGAGTCTGTCATCTTGGCAGCAGGAATTTGCTAGATAGTAGCAATTAGATTAGATTAATAGCTATATAGTAGGTTAATACCAGTTTTGTTTTTACCAGGATGAGGCTGTTTCAATACAAGAGTGTGATATCTTGCTGGAACGGAAATGCTTCCATGAAACTGCATTTCCTCATGAGCTCAGATGGACAACTAAATTATTTAAGTTCATCTTACTGTTCAAGCACTTTGACCCGCTGTGTTAGATTATGTCAAATTACAAGTAAAACGCATTAGCTCTGATGCTAACCTCCACGCAATCCCAGCCCAGATAACAACACTTATCAGCACCCCTCCTTCTGCACCCCTACCTGGCACAGGGGCACGAGAGACGCACGCCATAGGGTGTAGCTCCAGTGCCCATTTATTGCTGCACAGCAGCCACCTGTATACCGTGACACATGACCGCCCCGTGACCTGTTAAGCACCACCCAGAATCACCCCCTGTAGCTACCACCCACCAAAGCCCAAGTGCCACTCACATCAAGCACTGCCCACAAGCTCATTGGCTTAATTTTTCTTTGAATTAGAATCTTTAATCTGTTCACTATTTGCTGACCTCAGTATCACGGGTCAGCTGACATGTGGGAATTTGTCAAGTACCATAGGTAATTCATTAAAGTCATTAGTTGAAGCTTTTTATCTCTTGCACCTAACACCATGTGTCTGCAATTAACATTTTGAGGTCCATGTCCCTAGAATATTCAGTTAGCTGAACAACAGGAAAGAGAAAGAAATGCTTCTGAGTTTTGCAGTCTTGCAAAAAAAAAAAAAATCTTGAAATCTTGCATTTGTCAGTGAGCAGAGTTTCCAGAGCTGTGTCAGAACATGCTTTAACATCTTTACAAAAGTCTGATCTTCAGTAAGGGGAAATCAGATTTCTGCCTCAGACTTTGGACAAGGCTAGGACTTCAGAGTTTAGATATAAATAAGGCATTTAGGAATTCAGCGTTACTTTTTGAGGTATTTTATTGTCAGCATGAAAAGTAGCATCACTTGCTTCAAGTGCTTGTTGAAACATGTCAGAAAATTATGTTGTGTTGCTGGTGGAACCTGAATGTATCAAAAGTGTAGATCTTAATAGCCCCAACCAGCTTAGAAAGAGAGAACCAGTGTTACAGCCAACAGATCTGCTCTCCTGGATTTCGTCTGATACCCTGATATGGCACAGTCCTCTGAAGTTAAAATGAAGTTGAAGCGAATATTGGAAGAACCAGTCTTTTTTAAGAGTGCAGCATCTTTTTACTGCTGTTGAAAGTAGAAATGTGCAAAAATCATTTTGAAGTGAATAATCCCTTGAAATTCTCAGGCTTGTATGTGCTTGTTCTTGCACAGCATCTTCCCCAGCCCCGCTGAAGTAGCACTGCAGAAACTGAGTAGCTTAAACTGGGAAGCAGTCAGTGTCCTCTTGTAAAATCTTGTCATCAGAAACTGGCTGCTATGAGTGCACTTATGCCATCCCCATGAAGTGCTGCTTTTTCACAAGAAGATTGCCTTGGGGAGTGCTCACTAAATTCAAATGTGCAGCAGCTGTACTTTTCAAAAAAAAAAATCTATTGCCAAGGGAAAACTAGCAGTACATGAATGAGAGCCTGTAAAAAAGCATTATACATAATTGCTGGCTACTGCTGCCACTTATTTCTAATCAGTAAGGTAGGTGGAGGCACTGATGCCCGCTGGTTGTCCACCTTTTCCACTCTGGAAAACAATCAAATGGAGCACTTCTTCTTCAGGATGCAAACTTCCAGTCCTGTTAATTTGCATTTCTACAGAGCTGTAAGCTCTGTAAAATTGAGAATACAGAATACAGCAGTGATCTCTTTCCTAAGATGGTACAGATCTGAGAATAGGCAGGTTTCCTGTGCTATTCTACACTGGCTTGGAAAAAAAACCAACAGCCTATTAATGTCTAAAGGCGCTTCTGTAATTTGGGTGTTTGCTTAAGGTTTGTGGGAATGATTCATTGTTAATTTCTATTAGAGGACACTTGCTTATAGGATATGTAAAAATTGTTGGATCCTTCTATAGAAAACTTTGTATCCATTCCAGAAGGCAGCTGTGGTTTATTCTATCAGATTATAAATAAGCAGTAAATGAATAAATTAGAGGACAAGAGGTGCATTATGCTAATGCAGAAGTGCTGCTGCCCTCATTTCTGCAGTTGATACTAACAGAAATGTGGTTGAAGGTAAGTCACAGACTTACAGAGCTGTTACCCCCTAAAGACAGTTCTTCTGGGTACTGACTGTGTGTGAAAAAGATCACTCATCATTACCCCTTTACTGTGCTAACAATGTGATTTACACTTTTCAGGACTACCAAAAAAATTGATTTTTTGATTGCTGTGGATGGTGGATGAAAATGAGAGCTCAAGTGACCTGAGTCCCAACCATGAAAAACTCTGTAATAGTCACTGGATGGTTATTTTTAGAATATATTAATATGTAAAACGTGAACATAATATTTTATTAATACAACTGAAGTTTTTAATTTTTTTTAAAATAAAATGCTGCTTAAAAAGCAAGATGGTCCCTCTCTCTGATTTGCTGTCTCACTGCTTTGACTCATGTTTTGAGGTACAAGTCTGAACCACCTGCATGCTGCTGATTTACACAGGCCAATTTTGTAGACCCTTTCTGTTGAATCACATGCATTCCTTCACAGAGGCCCATCCTTCCGAGGAAGATGGCAAATGTGGCACCTGGAGCTTAAATGTACATGGCTGTCTGCCAGCACTCACAATGTGTGTTGGAAAAACTATATCACTATAAGAGAAAGACGGGAGGCTTTTTGTTTCGGTTCATATGCCAGTGTAACAACTAAGTTTGCATGTACTCACTCAGACAGCTTGCCTTATGAATTTCAAAGGATATGTTCACTGTACTGAAAACAATATGGTGCTCACAATGACTGTGAAGTGGTTGGGTTGTTTTTCTTACCACACATTCTAGTCTTCCGGGAGAGATTGCCTGGGAGCGTATAAATATGGTTTTCTTCACAGCCAGGATTGCAATAGGGGTAGAGGGAGACCCAGTTTGGGAAACTACACCAGACCTGTGAATGTGTGTTTGTTGAACATTTTTCACAGTGCATAGACTGAGTTTAGCTCTGTTGCAAAGTGTTTGCTGGGCAACAGGACTTCTCCAGTGGAACAAAACAAGCCAGTAGGTGCTGCTGATGCAGCTTAATTGTATGCCCACCATAGTGCAGTGGATCTCTGGGATACCTGTTGAGGCACTGTCGTTTTCCCACCTATGAACTGCTTTTAGCATTCCATCTTCTAATGTATGTAGGTTGCCCTGAAAGTGACGTCTCCTGTGGAAGACTGCACACTGCACTATGCTGCTGCAGTTTCTGTGGAAACTACAATGGACATAAAGAGGACAATAACACCACATGAAAGGTCAAATTTACAGATATGGAACACTGTTTTTCATCATAGTCACCACTAATATGCATTTTCACCAGCAATGAACAGAAGTCTGCATTGCAATGTTGCCACCACTGGTTCCAACACACTGAAGCCAATTTTCAGATTTGTATACAGTTCCCTGGTCATAATCCACCATTTTGAGTGGATGAGCTGATTGAGACACTTGTTGTTTTGTGGCGTGGCAGCTGTGCAAGGCTGTCTGGAATGTGGCTTGTCTTTCACATCACTGTCACCACTGCTGAAAGTCACCATCCACCACTTCACTGTGCACACATCCACTGTTCAATCATAGAATCATAGAATCATAACATGGTTTGATTTAGAATGGACCATTAAGATCACCTAATTCCAACCCCCTGCTGTAGGCAGGGACACCTCCCTCTAGACGACGTTGCTCAAAGCCCCATCCAGCCTGGCCTTGAGGACCTCCAGGGTGGGGGCATCCACAACCTCACTGGGTAACCTGTTCCAGTGTCTCAGCACCATCACAGTGAAGAATTTCTTCCTATTATCTAGTCTAAATCTACCCTCTTCCAACTTAAAACCGTTTCCCCTCATCCTGTTGCTACGTGCCCTTATAAAAAGTCCCTCCTTGTTGCAGGCTAGCAACACAACACAGCGTTCTCGTGCAAAAGATTCCACTTTATTTTCCCAAGCAAGCTTTTTTTATTCCAGTGTGTATTCAGTTCATTTCCACTAACAATCCAGTGGCTAGAAAGCAAGCAAGTTTTGTAACAAATCTTCATAACAGCATTGAGTTTATCTTATGCTTAGCTGCAAAACATCCTCTTTCTCTTTCCCAGAAAGTTGGCATTCAAAGAGGTCAAACCAACCTCTCCATCCCCTATACCTCCCCAGCTTTCCTGTAGGCTCTCTTCAGGTACTAGAAGGCAGCTATCAGGTCTCCTTGGAGCCTTCTTATCTCTAGGCTGAACCCCAGCTCTCTCAGCCTGTCTTCATAGAGGAGATGCTCCAGCCCTCTGATCATCTTTGTGGCCCTCCCCAGAATCTGTTCCAACAACTCCATGTCCTTGTGATGGAGGCCCCAGAACTGGTTGCAGTACTCCAGGTGGAGTCTCACGAGAGCAGAGGGATAAAATCACCTCTCTCAACCTGTTGGTCACACTTCTCTTGATGCAACCCAGGATGCAGTCTTTCATCAACCGACATTCCCAAATCCTTCTCCTCAGGGCTGCTCTCAAGCCATTCTCCACTCAACCTGTCTGTGCCTGGGATTGCCCCAATCCAAATGAAGGACCTTGCATTTGGCCTTGTTGAACTTCATGAGGTTGGCATGGGCCCACCTCTCAAGCCTGTCCAGGTCCCTCTGGATGTCATCTGTTCCCTCTAGCATGTCAACTGTACCAGTCAGCTTGATGTTGTTTGCAAACTTTCTGACAGCGCACTTGATCCCAATGTCCATGTCGCCTACAAAGATGTTGAATAACACAGATCCCAACACCCGTCCCTGAGGAAAGCCACTTGTCACCGGTCTCCATTTGGATGTTGAACTGTTGATCACAACTCCGAGAGTGACCATCCAGCCAATTCCTTGCCCAGCAAGTGGTCCATCCATCAAATCCATTTTTCTCCAGTTTGGCAAGCAGGATGTCATGCAGGACAGTGTCAGCGCTTTGCAGAAGTCCAGATAGATGACATCAGTTGCTCTTCCTTTATTCACTGATGCTGTAACTCTATCATGAAAGACCACCAAGTTTGTCAGCATGATTTGCCCACGGTGAAGTTGTGTTGGTTATCACCAATCACCTCACCTTTATTTTCCAAGTGCCTTAGCAGAGCCTTCAAGAGGATCTGCTCCATGGTCTTGCCAGACACAGAGGTGAGACTGACTGGGCAGTAGTTCCCTGGATCTTCTTCTTTTTTTTTTTTTTTTTTTTTTTTTTTTGCTTCCTTGAAAATGGGGTTATTCTTTCCCTTTTCCAATCAGTGGAATGTTTATGGGTCCCCACAAGCATTCAGCAAGCATCTACAAACGTCAGTTGTTGGAAGTGATCTCCTGGGAAACTGTCTTTAGAGACAAAGGAAAGGAACAAAGCTGGCAGCACGCACTGTTTCATGTTTCTGAGAGCACAAGAGCTCTCCGTTCGCCAGCATAAGAAATCAGAGGAGGCAGAAAAACAAGCATGGCTGAACAAGGATCTGTTGAAGCAGTGGAAATGGGAATGGATGGCCTGGAAGAAATCCAGGGATGCTTTCAGGATGTGCAGGAATGGGATCAGGAAAGCCAAGGTGTGGATGGAATTAAGCTTGGCAAGGGTTGTAAAAAACAGGAAGGATTTATTTATGTACATTGGTAAAAGATACAGTCAAAGAAGAGTGTACCCCCTCTAATAAATGAAAAGGAAAATCTAGCCTCCTCAGCTGTGGAGAAGGCTGAGTAATTTAATGAATTCTTTGCCCCTATCTTCACTGCCAATCGGGTTTCCCAAGTCTCTTGTGTCCCTGAACTTCCAAGGAGGGCTCAGAGCATCAAAATCTTTCTAAGTGTAAGAGTGAAGCAAGCATTCATGAGAATGCACATGTATAAGTCTACGGGGCTGGATGGTATGCATCCCAGTGTCCTGCAGGATTTCTGAGCCCCTCTCTGTCATGTTTGAAACTTATGGTTGGCAGGTGAAGTCCTCAGGGACTGGAAAAAGGGAATCAGCGCTCCCATTTTCATGTAAGGGAGAAAGGAAGACCTGGGGAACTACAGTCCAGTGAGCCTCACCTCTGTGCCTGGAAAGGTCAAGGAGCAGATCCTCCTGGAAACTATGCTAAGGCACATGTGAGATGAGGAGGTGATCCAAGACAGCCAGCATGACTTCGGCAACAGCACATCATGCCTTATTATTCTGGTGGCCTTCTATCATGGAGTGATGGTACCAGTGGACCAAGGAAGGGCAACTGATATCATCTACCTGGACTTGTGCAAGGCCTTTCACCATCAAAACTTCTCCCATCAAAAGAGGAGTGGCCATCAGGGAGAGAGAGTTGATTCCCCCCTGCTCTGCCCTCATGAGGCCCCATCAGAACTACTGTGTCCAGGCCTGTAGTCTCCTGCAAAAGAAAGATGCAGAGCTAATGGAGTGGATCCAGAGGAAACCCATCTAGATGATCAAAGGCAGGAGCACCTCTCTTATGGTGAAAGGTTGAGGGATTTGGAATTATTTAGCTTGGGGAAGAGAAGACTCCAGGGAGACCTCACTGTGATCTTCCAGTACTTTAAAGAAGCTTAAAGAAGCTTACAAGCAGGAGGGGAAGCACGTTTTACTCATGCAGATAGTGAAGGGACAAAGGGGAATGGATTTAAACTGAAAGGGGGAACGATTAGGTTTAATGCTAGGAATAAATTATTCACTCAGAGGGTGGTGAGGCACAGGCAAAGGCTGTTCAGAGAAGCTGTAGATGCCCCATCCATTGAGGAGTTCAAAGCCAGGATTGATGGGTTCCTGGGCAGCCTGAGTCACTGGCAACCCTTCCTGTGGCAGGTGAGTTGGAACTATTTGATCTTTGAAGTCCCTTCCAACCCAAGCCATTCTGTGATTCTGTGATTCTAACTAGCCCAAACCCCTGCTAAAGCAGTTCCTTACAGTAGGTTGCCCAGGCGGGTCTTGAATATCTCCAGAGAAGATTTGTCAGCTGTCCTGGGCAGCCTGTTCCAGTACAAAGCCTTCTGTGTCACAGAAGGAACAAAAACTGCCTTGCTTTTGATGGTGATGTTGCCCATAGATAAAGTATATGTACACCACAGTAAGATAAGATTAGAGAAAGCATCAGCACAAGGGTTTTTGTTGGTTATTCTTTTATTCCAGGCTTTGGAATAGTTTGACTTAGCTTTTGTGTCTTCAATCAGATCTCTGGAAGGAATATTTAGGACATCTGGTAGCTATAGCTTAATATGCAATTAGTTATCTGAATACTGTCTGTGACAAGCTTGCTTTGCAAGCTTTCAATTATGCAAATCATACTTCAGCTTTAACTATATTTTATCATGCCAGCTCATTGAGTATATAGCTATTGCAACCTGCTTGGCTTCTGTTCAGAATGGCAACAATTAATAGTTGTTAC